CCTTCCTGATTCCATGGCCACGGGATGTGGGCTGGGAGCTGCTCCTGGCTGGATTGGGGTGCCCTGAGCCAGCCCCACCCCTGGCTCCTGGCATGGGGAGGGGGTGGCTGTCCCCCTGCCACCAATAAAGTCACCCTGGTATTTATGCCCTGTCCCCTCCTCCTGCTTGCACCCACCAGCACCCTGAGCCCAGCCCTGGGGCTTGGCCCTGGGGGAGTTGGGGTGAGTGTCCCCCCAGGATGATGAGGGCAGTGCTGGAGATGTTCACTCCACCCTGAGTGGGGTTTGGGGACAGGAGGGACATGCCCTGCCCCAGGGTGGGGACTTTAGGTGCTGGCAGGGGCAGAGCCACAGCCAGGCTCCCATTTGGGGGGCACAAAGGCATCATCAGGGCAAGCAGGTGAGGGTGACACCCCAGGGTCATGCCACCTTCCTACCCACCAGTGACCAAGGGATGTGGTGGCCCTTCCCACAGGGACACGGCACAGGGAGGCTTCTCCACACCTTTATTGTCCTGGAGGGTGGCAGGAGGGGATGGGAGTGCTGGGGAAGGCACAGTCCTGCCAGCCACCACATTGGGGACACCTGGGCCACCTCAGGGCAGCGGGGACAGCCCCACCTTGTTGTCAGCTCTGTTGAAGATGACATAGTACTCGCGGATGAAGACATCCCCAAGGATCCAGAGCTCACCCTCCTCCGTGGGGGCATCCATGCCCTCAAAGCCAACGCTGCAGGACCCTTCACTCTGCTCCAAGGACATGGTAGCACGTGGTCACCAGCTGTTGGACACCCCAAACCCCTTCCCAGTGGGATACTCACCCTTAACACGTAGGCTCTGGGTGGCACTGGGAAGGCTTTGCCGTTGATGTGGAAGATGACATCAGGCAGCTTGCTGACAGCCTGGCAGCTGATCTGAGGGGGACACGGGGGAAAGTAGGGATCAGTGGCCAACCCAATGTCCTGGGAAGCATTCCCAAGGCCCTGTGTGTTCCCTGAGGCCTCACCTCGCCGTTGAAGCTGGCACCAAGGGAGACTAGGAGGATCCTGAGGGCTCGGACGGGCATGGTCAGCAGTGTGGTGCCTGTGTCCACGATGGCCTGGCACCCCGAGGAGCAGGCCACCTGCTTCCCATGCACAGAGACACTGGGAAGAGGCATGCAGGGTGAGCCCCACAGGTGTAGTACACCCCAAAAACCCAGCTGGAGGGCACAGGGAGTCACTGGGAATACCTATCCATGGTGATCTGCCAGTAGGTTTCGGCAGAGAGAGGGATCCAGGTGATGCCTTTGGTGGTGTAGTAAGGATCGATGGCACCAAAGAGGACAAAGCTGCCAGGCTGGCCATCCCTGGAAAGGGAGAGCCATCAGGTGGGGGTCCCATCCCACCATCAGCCCCATTCCATCAGGGAATGGGGCTGGACCCAGCACCCATGGGAGAAATCAGGAGAAATCCTCATCAAGGTGCCTCCAGCCTGGACTTACCTGCTCAGGTAGACAGAGAAGATATCCCTATCCACAAGATTTTCCATCATCATGTTGTCAAAGACTGGAGTGGCTCCAGAGGAGGCAATACTTGGGAATGCCAGCCCCAGGATGCCATCAAAGGGAGCATAGTAGAAGAAATCCCCTGGCTCAGTCTCAGCCAGCCCAAAAATCTGGTCAGAGATGCTGATGCCTGCGACCTGGGAGAGGGACACAGGTGTGGCTTAGGGCAGGTGGCATCCCAAGGCCCCTGCTCCCATGGGAACAGGCCTTACATTGACAGTGTCATATCCCAGGACTCCAGTCATGCTTCCTGTGCCATAGGCAATGAAGAGGGTGTCGTTGGTGCTGAGGAAGGTGGAGGAATCCTCAGGGTTGAAGCGCTTGTGGTTCCCTACAGGAGTGGGAAACAGGTGGTCATGGTCTGACCCGCCCCAGTGTCTCCCTCATTGCCTGATGTCCCCTGAGAGAGGCAGGGCAGAGCCATCCTTGGCTCCCAGCTCCTGGAGCCTGGGGAATTTTCCCCCTGGCCTGGAATCCACAGGGCAACCAAACACATGTCGGACGCATGGACACCTACTGCAGCCTGGGCTGGAGCAGAAGACTGAGGGCACCCACAAGTTGGAGGAACCAGTGTCGAAGACAACAGTGAATTTCTGGGGTGGAGTTCCAATGGAGATGGTGCCAAAGTACTCATCCTGTCCCAGTGGAATGGGGAAGGGGTTAGAAGGATGGGGAAGGGGCTAGTGGGATGGGGAGGGGGAGAGCAGGGTTGGGAAGGGGATAGTGGGGTTGACTAGTGGGATGGGGAAGGGAGTATGGGACTGGGTAAAGGGCTAGTAGTATGGGTAAGGAGCTGGTGGGATGAATAATGGGCTAGTGGGAATGGGAAGGGGTAAAGGGAATGAGTAAGGATTTAGTGGGATAGATAAGGGGCTAGGAGGATGGGGAACGGGCTAGTGGGTCTTCAAGGTGGGTAGTGGGATGGATTAGGGGCTAATGGGATGGACAAGGGGCTAGTGGCACAGGTAAAGGGTTAGGGGAATGGATAAAAGGCTAATGGGATGGGGTAAGGGGTTAAAGGGATGGAGAAGGGGCTTGTGGGATGGCAAAGGGGTTAAGGGACTGGGGAAGGGGCTGGTGGGATGAATTATGGGTTAATGGGATGGACAAAGGGCTAGTGAGATGGGTAAGGGGCTAATGGGATGAATAAGGGGATAGAGGGATGGGTAAGGGGCCAGTGGCTCTCTGCCCCTGTGCCAGCCCCTCACATCCATGTAGTTCTGCAGGGGCTCCACGGCGATTCCAGGAAAGTACTTGGCAGCCAGGTTGTAGGGATGCTGCTCCAGGAAACTCTCCAGCAGCCCCTGTTCCCGCAGCCTCTCCCGCAGCGACTTCGTCTTCTCCAGGGGCACCCTGGGGGCAGGAACATACCTCATTCCACATCCCTCCTTGGGAAGAGCCTTCCCGGGGGTCCTGGACACCCTCCAGTGCTCACCTTACCACGTGGCCCTGTGCCAGGGCCACCACGGTGAGAAGCAGGAGCAGCTTCATGGTGGTAGCTCAGAGCAGGTGACAGCCAGTGTGTCCCTGTCCCCTGTACTGCTCCTTATATCCCAGCTCCGTGTTTGGATCCCAGTTCCGTGTTTGGATCCCAGCTCCGTGTTTGGCCAGTGGCGCTGATAAGAAAGGCAAACGGCTCTGGGGACAGTTATCACAATGTCCTTAAGGGAATGTCAAGCTGGGGACTCCCCATCTTTCCCAGAGTGTGGGAATGCTGCTGGAAGGTTGGGATGGGAGGGAAGCATTCCCACATAGTCCATGTCCCAAGGGAAGATACTGTGAGCTGGTGAGTTGTGTTTGTCAGGGTCTCTTGGGTTGTTCCAACCTGGCCTGGAACACTTCCACAGGTGAGGAAGCCACAGCTTTCCTGGGAAATATGTTCCAATGCCTCACCACCCTCACAGGGAAGGATTTCTTCCCAATATCCAACCTAAACCAGCATATGGACTCATGGAATGGTTTGGGTTGGAAGGGACCTTAAGGATCATCCAGTTCCAAACCTCTCACTGGCCCAGGTTGCTCCAAACCACATCCAACCTGGCCTGGAACACTTCCAGGGATGGGGCAGCCACAGCTTCACTGGGAAATCCATACCAGTGCCTCAGCACCCTCACAGGGAAGAGTCTATTCCCAAAATCCAACCTAAACTCTTCCTCTGGCAGCAGGAAGCCATTCCCACTGTCCCATCACTCCATGCCCTTGTCCAAATCCCTCTCCAGCTCTCTCAGAGCCCCTTTAAGCACTGGAATGTGTTCCAAGGTCTCTCCAGAGCCTTCTCTTCTTGCCAAGGCTCCATGCAGGATTTGCCAGCTGCCAGGTCCAGATTTTCCATTTTGAGATTCAGCCAAGACCTTCTCCTTTCCAGCCCCCTCCCATCACATCCCATCCTCCTTTGTCCTCAGGGATAATCAAGTTTTCCACCCCTTTTCTCCCATCACCCATCCGATCCCACCAGGTGTTATTTCATTTCACTCCCACAATGATTTAACATTTATCCTCGGATTGTTTTGACATTTCCAGCTGGGATGGAGGTTAATTCCAAGGGAGGAATGCCAGCTCCAGCCTTTGGGAGCCTCCAGGCAGGCTGGTCCCAGTTTGTCACCTCAGAGTTGGCTTCGATGTCCTCCAGGACAAGGTGACCTGTGCCGGCAGCCACATAGTGCCGTGACGGAAGCCAAATGCCCAATCCAGCTCCATGACCTTCAGCATTCCAGAGGCATCCGGAGCTGGGCTTTCCCCCAGCTCGTCCCAGTTCCATGGTAGCCCTGGGAGAGGGGGAGGAGGGTGAAATCCCAGTGTAAGGAAGACATGGAGGTGTTAGAACAAGGTCAGAGGGGAAAATAGAGATGATCCAAGGGATAAGGAAAGGTGGAGAGAGTTGGAATTGTCCAGCCTGGAGAGGAGAAGGCTCCAGGGAGACCTTGGAGCACATTCCAGTGCCTAAAGGGGCTCCAAGAGAGCTGGAGAGGGACTTGGGACAAAGACATGGAGAGCCAGGACATGAAGAAATGGCTTCCCACTGCCAGAGGATGCATTTAGATTGGATATTGGGAAGGAATTCCTCCCTGTGAGGGTACTGAGGCCGTTATCCCTGGAAGTACTCCAGGCCAGGCTGGAGCAACCTTAGCAGGTGGGATGTGTCCCTGTAGCTTTGAAGCTGCAAAGTTTTCCTCTCTTTTTTTGCCAAAATAGTAGGAAAACAAAAAAAAAAAGAAGTTTTCCCAGTGCTCTTTATCCATTTAATTCCCAGAGCTACCATCCCTGTGGATCAGCATTCCAGTTTTTTCAATGGAAAGAAATTATTTTCCCAATAATGGGAAGATTTAGGACAAGCTCATTGTGCTGTCAATGAATCCCATCAGGAGGAGGCAAAGCAGAGCAGTGGATCCGACAGGGATGGATTTTTGCATGGATCATTATCCACAGAGGGAAGAAGTTCTGGAATTTGAGACCAGGAAAACATCAGAATTCATATTTAGCTCTAATTAAGAGAAGAATAAAATGTGGGAGGGTGTGAAAATAATCCCTTTTAGGGTGTGAAATGAGTTTTTGTTGGGCTGCGGATGCCCTGGATTTTTCCTGCCTCGGTGGGGAAACGGAGGGAATGAGACACTGGTTCCTGGAGGAACCTGTCCTGGTGCTGGGAGCTCGGTTTGGGTGGCAGCAGGTGACAGGGGGTGGCCTCTGTCGCAGCTCTGCTTGGCACCAGAGGGCACCAAAGCATGGGGAGACCCCAAAACACATCTGGAATGATGGATCTGGAAGCTTTCCATCCCAGTCTGCCCATTCCTGATACAGCTGGGGCTGAGTGAGGATTCCTGGTCAATAAAACACCACAAAATTTATGGTTGTATCCCAAAAATTCAGACTTTAATGTAATTTTGGTGTGGGAAAACCACTTGGAATGAGCTTAACTGCCACAGGCTTCACCCTCTGGATCAAACGGGAATGTTTAGGGATTTTCAGACTTTTGGGACATCAAAACCTGTTCTGACTCAGCACAGGAACTTTCTTAACTTTATCTGTGAAGGCTTAAAAAAATCCCCTTTTGGAGACAGGTCTTATCTCAGGAATGGATTAAGGAAGTCGACTTGTTTTCCAGGCCCTGTTCCCAGTTTTTCTTGTCCCTTCCCTGAAGGCTTTATCACACAGGAGCTTTATCAGAGCTGTCAGATGAAAGGAAAGAGGTTGGACACTGCCGAGGTGTCAAATCTCAGGGATTTGATTAAAAAATATTTAATTAAGTTATCAAGGAAGCCCACAGGGATCTTGGCTGATCCTTCTGGAGCAGCTGGGGGTGGAATTCTGCTGGAGCAGGACCTCAGGCTGCTCAGGTCACCTTTTTCTACCTACTGTGGGAGATTCTGGGTGGGACACAGGCAGAACCAACTGTTGTGGGAATTAAGGATATTGATCAACATATAATGGGAATATCCTTCCCCGAACGCCCACATTTATCCCAATTTTTATTGCTGGGAAACACACTTAAGCGGATCTTTTCCCATTTCTCCCCTGCAAGTCTGATTTATCCTCTTCTCACTCCTTATGTTTAAATATAAATTGTTCATTAAATGTCTTCCAGCCCTTCCACGTCTCTGGCAACTGCTTCAACCAGCCTGGAAAACATTCCTTTCCCTTTAGAAAGTCAAGTCTCTTTTCCTTCCCATAACATTGGGGGGTTGACCTGGTTATCAGGAACAAATTGTCCTTGATTAAGGCAGAATTATTGGGAGTCATATGACTCCTGTTTATTGCACCTCAGGTGATCCAGGCGGGATCAGAGGTGCCTTTCCCGACCCCAGCACTTCTGGAACAGCTGGGTTACTTTGACCCAGCCTTCCTCCTCACACAGTCCTCATCCCTGCTTGGGTTTTTGGGAATGTGGAGCTCTAGGTGGACAAGTGGAGGTTGGATTTGTGCAGGGAGTGATGGGTTGGCCCTTCCAACACCTCATTCCTGTTTCATGTGAGGAAGATCTAATCTAGGTACGCCAAAGGGATTTGCTTTCATCTCGTGGTTCCACATGTAAAAAACCCGACTTTATATGAAATTCTGAGACGCCACTGAAGTCTCCATGTACTTCCTAAGCCACATCCAGCCTGGATTTGGACACTGCCAGGGATGGGGCAGCCACAGCTCCTCTGGGCAACCTGTGCCAGTGTGTCACCACCCTCACAGGGAAGAATCTCCTCCCAGAATCCAATGTGTCAGGATGGATCCATTCTCCCTTTTCCCATTGCTCCATGCCCTTCCCAAAGCTCTTTTCCAACTCTCTTGGAGCCTCTACACCCACAAACACAGAGGATATAAACCCTAGACCAAACATATCTCAGAGAAAGCCACACAGACACCCAAACAACTATTATCTATTTTTTTAAAAATCCATAATATCGACAAAATTCCATAAAACTCGATTAAAATAGCAAAAAACTCGATAAAAATCCCCAATATTGACAGAATTCCCCCCAACATGGCGGCGGGCCGTACCACCTGCCGCCGCTGGGGGGGCCCCTGGACCCCCCCCCCTCCCCGTCTCCCGGCAGTGGTTGGCGCCGGAAGCCGGAAGTGATCAGCGCCAGGAGAGTCCTGGTGGGTCCTGCCGCGCCGGGACTGGGAATAGTGGGAAAAACCGGGATAACGGGGCTGCTCCCGCCGCTGGCGGTGCGCGAGGGCCGTGGGTAGGCACCGAGGGGGCTCGGAACCCGTGGGAGAGCGGGCAGCGTAGCGGGCGGTGCTCCCACCTCTTCCTCAGCGCCTCTGGATTCATCCCAGAGCTCATCCCAAGCTTTCCCGCTAATGCTATTCCCGTTCTTCCCTCTTAAACTCCAGAAAAACCTCGTTGTTAACCCAAAAAACGCCCCAGATCAGGTGATTTCTGTGAGCAGGTGAAGCGCACTCCGAGCATGGAATGTAATTCCCAGTTTTCCCTTGGAACAGGTTTGTCTGGATCGTGGGTTTGGCAACGCTGAGCGTCGCCTCTGCATCCAGAGGCTGCGGCAGCATTCCCGGGGTGATATCCTTGGGATGTTCCCCCTGGAGGAAAGGTAGAGGAGCCTGGAACCTTCAGGACAGCACAGGTGTGTGGTGTGTCCCTGTTTCTAGGCCATTCCCATGTTATTCCATCCCTCCTTTTGGAATCTGTGTCACCAGCACCTGATTCTTCCCAAATATTATCAGCCTGGAATATTTGGGACAAATTGTGAGTGTAGTGTGAAAAATCTATGATTTCCATGATTTTTGTGTTGTTTCACTGATTTCCATGGGAATTAGATGATTCTTAAGGTACTTCCCAACCCTATGGATATGGCTGGAAGTGGGCTGATCCAGGTTTCCTCAGCAGAACAGGAGCCTGGAAAGGGATGGAGAGATCTAACTGGTTCCCAGGCCGTGGGTGGATGTTCTCTTGGCAAATCCACATGACACCAAATTTCTTCCAAGCAGGCTGGGAAAAGTGGGGAAGAAGTCTTTCCCAAAAGAGGAATTAGTGGGGATGTTGTGCTTTCCCCTTGCTGGTTGTTTATGGATCACATGGAAACCTGGAGCAGCTGCTCCAGTTGCTTATGGAACTCAGTGCAGCTGCTCCAAGCAGGATTAACAAATCCCTAATAGGATTAACACCTATTTCCATCTGGATTTGGGAATCCTTGTGGCTACTCCCTCCTTTTCCATGCCTCAGGGATCGGCCAGGATGGACACACTGAGGAACAGAACAGTGGAAGAGCTCCAGGAGCTGCAGGAAGATTCCCAGGAGATCGAGCGCTTGGCCTTGGAATCCCAGGAGGTTCGTGCAGGTGTCACTGGAGTCTCCTCATCCCATTCCCATGGTAACTATCCCATTTCCCACAGGTGCAGGAGCTGCAGCTGGAGCGGGAAATGGCTCTGGCTGCCAACAGGAGCTTGGCTGAGCAGAACCTAAAATTCCAAGAGCCTCTGGAAAGAGGACGGAGTGACCTCTCCAACAAATACCAGGAGCTGCAGGAGCTGGCTGGGAAGTGCAGGGAGCAGAAGGAAAAGCTGGGTGAGCCCTGGGATTATGGGGAGCAGGAGGAATTCTGCTCCTTATAAAACTGAGATCCCTCTTTTTCCTTGTCAAACACAGCCAGCAGTTCCCAAGGCAGGAGGGTGCTCCTGTGGGATCTTTGCTGGGTTTTCCGTGGATTCTGGTTGGTGCTAGTGATTTTCCCATGTTTTTTTCTGGCTC